ACTTTAAACACAGAGGAAACATTTCAAATAGATATTGGCACACTTGAAACTAAAAAGAAATCTCAAAAGAATGTAGAAATTTTTGAGTCATCTTTGTTTAGGTAGCAAACTAAAGCTGTACACATGTAAGATTTCTTTAGACTAAAAAGAAAAGCATTCTGAAAAGAGCTGGCCTAGGACTCACCCTGAACTCTGGTGTTTCTTGGTTAGTTAGAGGTGGATGAGCCTTCACAGAAGTCCAAGTTGGTATGGCTGCATCAGGAGATGGAAACCAGGCACAAGGTTCTGTCTTAGCACCAAGGAGAAGGACTTTCAGGGAGGAACTGGGTAGCAGTGTCTGATCCTTCTCTGATTTCAAGTGAAGTTTGAGAAATTCCCAATGGATTCAGGAATCTTTCAGAATGTTCATTGAAGTCCTTTAAGACAGATTTTAGTGGACTTGGGGTCTAGAAATCAAATTGTGGCTTAGAGATATGCAGAATGGAGATAGCAAGATATTTTGACTATCCACAAAACTTGGCTGTCCCTTGAAGGTGCTAGAGTAAAGGGACAGTCCTCACCTAAGGGATCTAGGAAGGCCTAAAGGGATGGTATTGGAAATTCAGTGAAAGGATTATTTCACATCTGTGTAGTGGTAGTTCTGCAACTGTCTTAATAGAGGTAAATGTATAATGTGAGTAAACTGACATTCATGTTATTAGAAAAATGATGGTTCCCATCTGATGGTTATTTTCTCCAGGAAATTGAGAGAGAATAGGAAGGTGAGTTGATTAAGGGTAGCACACGAATATTTAAAATAGTCATTGTACAGTGAATTGAGCAAATTAAATTACAATAAAATTGCTAGAAAGCATAGCAGCTCATTTGAGGCTAATTAGGATGAATTTATAATCAGTAGACGGTCTCAATCATTTCCTGGCTCTTGGGGTTTCCTTGATTAATGTTGTTTTTGCCTAGCTTAAGGTTTTGCTAACCCTAGGGTTATCTGCCTAAACTGGATAAAAGGAAGACTATGAAAAGGACTAAACCTTTTTGAAATATCAGTGAACTGGTTGCAGTGAAGTCAAAGATTGTGGTAGGTGACGTTTTGAGCAAGCTGGTTGAATAACTTACAGTCTCAGGGTAAAATATATGAGTTAATGGTTTTAGAAATAGAGTAGTTATGAATGATTACAAGCACAATACAAACAGTGTGAGCTTGGAAGTAGGTGACTTGAGTTGGAGTAGATTAGGTCATTATAAAAGAGGAAATCAAGAAATGAGGCTATAATCAAGTGTTATTCAAATGGATGTCTACCTCATTCAGAATGATGGCAAAACTTAGGGTGGAGAAAAGTTGTAAATTTGTTACCAGCACCTTTCATAGTAGGGGTAAGTGATAATCAATGATGGATAAGAGAAAGTTTTCAGCCCAGTGCCATAGCCTTGAAGAAACAGGATAATGGTCATACTGGTATTTTGGAAAGAAAATTTTGAGGGATTGTATGTGCCAACAAGATATGGAAAACTGTAGACATTGAAAGGTTTTTGTCCTTTATGAACTCATAGACTAGAAAAAGATATTGACAAGAGCAATTAGTGAGATTAGTGCTACCTACAACATAGAGTAAGCCCTGCAAAGGTGGAATAATTATCTCTAACTGACGAAGTCATTGATGGTTTCACAGGAAAAACATGTTAGTGAATTTTATGTAGTTCCTGAAGGAAAGAAGGGAGAAACCTTCCAGGATAAGATGTATAAGGTGTATGAATTCTTGATATAGATAAATAAACTCAAAATGAGCCTCCTTGGCTAGGGGTGAAGTCTCAAAGCTGTCACCACTGCATCCTGAGCTTGGTCAGGAAACTGATGTGTCTGACCCAGGAACTAACCCACATTGGTACAGCAGACCTCTCCTCTCATCCCACACTCCCCTTAGCAGTGCATTTCAGTTCATCTGCCTATTTTGCTCCCCACTCTATTTCTAAGGAGTCCTCT